CCCTTTCCCCCCCCACCCCACCCCCCCCCCCCCAAATCTCAGCTCCACGGCAGTCTAGAAGCAAAAGAGGAAAAGGAGACGCTCCGGCCACCAGAGAGAGGCAAGTCCTGGGCCGATCTGTGGGGCCAATTTGCCCCCTAAGCCTAGACCAAAGGGGAGCAGCACCCCTCCAGAGCCTCATTTTGACCCACAGGAAGACGTGCCCACAGGGAGGCCCCCCTGTCCTTTTCAGCCCAGCTTCCCAAGGAGGAGAGGGATGGAGACAGGACCCCCATGGATAAGGAAGACGAGGATCTGCCTGAGCGCAGCGTTCCTTGAAAGGAGCCCCCACCCCCAGAAGGTGACGAGAGGAGCAGCAACCGCCCGCTGGTTTGAAGGGCCCAGACGTGTCCCCAGCATCATCCAGGGGCCGAACTGGCCGGCGTCTCAACGCCGAGGTCTCGCCAGATGTGCTGGGGGGCCCCTCGGTCCTCCCTGCAGCTCAGAAGGAGTTGATGAAGTTCAGGTAGGCGTTCAAGAACCCCTGGGGGTCCTCTAGTTGGGGGTAGTGGCTGATGTGGTCGTCCAGCACAGACACGGTGGACATTGGAAGCACTTGCCTGTGGAAAGATGAAGAAGGGGTGGGGGAGAAAACAAACACTTTTTTGTACTCCCCCCCCCCCATCGTTGGCCATCAAGACAAAGGAAAGCACGGGCCGGACGAAAGCCACAACACGGCAACATCTCTCCTTGCCCCTACTGGGCCACCCCAACCACACGGGGTCCAGTCCAGACTGCTAACGGGTCTGCTTCCGAATCCAAGCGGCACGCAGGGCCTGTTGGAGACTTTTCCCCCCGGGGCAGATGGGGGAGGAAGAACCACACAACAGGGCAAGGCTGAAATAAAATCCTTCCCACCGATCCACCAGCTTTTCGCAAGCGGCAAGCGTTTTCACACAAATGATAAAAATCAGCGCCAAGGCCACATCATCTGAAGCCCTGCATCGGCCAAGGGTTTGTCTCCATCTGAACGGACAGTTTTTTGCTCCAGGGGGCGGTAGATCCTCTCAGGAATCACTTTTAACCCAAGCCACCTGGCAGAAGACCCTAGACCTGCATGTGGCACAGCCCTCAAGATCCATTCATCCAGGTAACAACTCCTGCAAACCTTGCTACATCCGACTTACCCCTCTTGTCTGCTCGTAGCAGGCTGTGTAAAGAAAGACTCATCTATCGGGGTGGGGGTGGTACTGGTTCACGCAGCTTTGATTAAAGCTGTGCTTCACTGAGAAGGGGGAGGGAAGCGTCCCTGCCAAATATTTTCAGGCAAAATCCAAAGAAACAAAAACAATTTTTAAAAAAAAGACAAAAACAGGTGGCATCTTAAAGATGAACTATTCTCTTTTGCTGGAACAAAACAATTTTTTTAAAAAGACAAAAACAGGTGGCATCTTAAAGATGAATTATTCTATTTTGCTGTGAGCGTTCGTGGACGCGTCACACGCGGACAGACCTATTTCAGCCTTTTCTCTGAGGCTCTAAGGCCCCCGGCTTTGTTTCTTTTTTCTCACAGCCTACAAGAAAAGTAAGGATGCAAAACTAGGGTTTAAGCACGGCACCTCTATGTTAGCAGGGAGGCGCTATGCTCTACTGTTCTATTTGGCAAGCATTCAAGCAGGGCAGCTTCCCATAGCATGAATTGCAAGCGACACCTCCTGAATTCCTGCCTCGCGGAGGGCTTTAAGGGTGCAGAGGGGAAACCGGAAGCACTCCCGTTGGTTTTTTAGAAATCTTTGATTGTTCAGAGCCTTTTAATTAGCTCCAAACCAACAGAGGAAGAGAGAAGGTAGCCTTTGTTTTGAGGGATGGCACATGGAGGAAAAACCGTAACATTGACAATTCGGACTTTTGTCGGCAAGGTAAGGTCTCTGCTTTTTAAGATGCTGTCAAGGTTTGTCATCGCTTTCCTCCCAAGAAGCAGGCGTCTTTTAATTTCGTGGCTGCTGTCACCATCTGCAGTGACCAGGGAGCCCAAGAAAGTAAAATCTGTCACTGCCTCCATATCTTCCCCTGAAGCTGACGCTCCAGTACTTTGGCCATCTCATGAGAAGACTCCCTGGAAAAGACCCTGATGTTGGGAAGGTGTGTCGATAGGAGAAAGGGACGACAGAAGACGAGATGGCTGGACAGGGTCATCAAAGCGACCAACATGAATTTGACCCAATTCCGGGAGGCTGTGGAAGACAGGAGGGCCTAGCGTGCTCTGGTCCATGGGGTTCACAAAGACTAGGAAATGACTTAATGACTAAACAACAACATGGTGCAACCTCGCAGCGCAGTGCTGTGAGCACTCTGCTCACGACCTGGGTCCCATCCCAGCATTGAGGCTGCCTCAGTGTCCCCTCCTTCCAAGGTTGGTGAATGGAATACCCAGCTTTCTGGCAAGGGAGCGGCCAACGTGTAGCCTCCTTAATTACACTGTAAACCAACCAGAGGGTGCTTTAAGCACTGTGGGGTGTAGTTAAGGCAGCGTGCTTTCCTTTAGGGTGAGCTTCTGATCACGCCAAGCCTACCTGTAGAGCTGGAGAAATTCTGGGTGTGGATTCACGGGGTCCAGCGGCCCATAGATCAGATGCACTGCAAGAGAGAGAAAACAGCTGTTCTGACCATTGTGAAGAGGATTCTTGCTCTCTACCACGACAAGCGTTCCTCATCTCTTGCCTCCCGCCAACACCCAGAACGGTCCATAGAGCTAAAGGTGCAGGTGGGTTCACCCACAAGGAAACGGCTTTCCTACTTACAGGGAACAGAAGTGGACTTCAGAGCGCCAACCCATCGGTCCCGGTGCTTCTTCCGTTGGTTGATGTACTCCAAAAGGCTGAAGGAAGGAAGGAAGGTTCAGCAGTGAAAACACACATTCAGACTCCAGAACATGGACCTCAGCCATCCTTCCGTGGCTTCCCAGTTTCTTTACTGAATTTAACACCGTTTTTCAAAGTGAACTCCTCTCCTAAATGTTAATGACCAGCAGCAAGAGCTTTAAGCTAAACCTGCTGGTACTTTTGGTTTCAATGTTTCGGCCCCTGGTTTTGCCCGCCCCTGAAAGGCAGCCCCTGAGATCTTTTTCTGAGCCTTCTGTTTGGTCCTTGGGCTCCCCAGGGCTCCCCCACCCTTGTGTTACAGCCTGTGTATGCTCCGTGGGCCGCTCTCAGTGGCACGTTTGGGAAACAGCTGGGAAATAAAGGGGTACCGGCAGCTGCAAGGCAGGAATCCTAGAACAGTGAAGCTGGAGGAGTCTATAAGAGTCCAACCTCCTTGCTCGAGACCGGAAGGAAAAAGCAGAACTTCGACATAAATATGCTCTGAACATGCAGAGCGTGCCCAAAGCCTCTCGTTAACTGTACCGCAGAGCATGAAAGATGCAACCTACACTCGTGTGTGTCGGCAACCTGCGTGACTTTAGTGGACCAAACGAAGCTGCCTTAACCCAAGTCATCCAGCCAGATCCTTGGGCTGAGCGTTGTCAGCTGCAAGCGCTGACTGGCAGCGGTTTCACAAGGCAGGGGTGTGCCTCCAACCTGCTAGCTGAGCATTGGGATCAATTCTTGAGACATCTGCATGAAAATCTCGTTGCTTAACACTGAGCGATCTGTCTTCCATGAGATGTAAAGCAGTTTTTAAAAAAGCAATGTTATTTGCAAACAATGAGACGGAACCACTGAAGCCCTAAAACACAGAGGTTAGAGGCCAGGTCTGTGAGAGAGATCTGAGCATCCTGGAAAAAAAATAGGTTTGGGGAAGAAAAAAAAAGGAGGAACCTTAGAGACTCCCAATGATTTCTAAGTGGGGCTTGGTGGACTTCCTGCAGGTAGAGGGCTTTTTAGGGCTTCTCAGGACAGGGTTTTTCATCACTTTCTTTCACAGAAGAACTGACTCCAGATCATGGTAACAGAACCCCGCGGAGCGGCTCATTCACCGCTTTCAACACAAAGCAAAAAGCCATCTCCCTGAAACAGGATCTCTGAAAAGAGGATTTCTGTCTAGAGAAAGCCACGTTGCCAGATCGTGCGTACGAGGCTCACCACGGTCCAACTGCAAGAAGAACACTCTGTTCTGCGTGCTCTCTCGCTCTCTCTCAAAAGAGAGAGAGACACACACACACACAGAGATGGCTAAAAAAGCTGCCAAGTTTGTCGCAACAAACACGCCTTACTGGGACCCATCATTGAAAGAAGTGACACCCATCTGTCACTCTACACAAATCCCTTGACTTAAAGGGATCAGCGTGCAACTTTCACAGGGATTCTGGCATCTTCTAAGAACACCAAACAGCAGTAGAACTCCTTCCATCCAAAGAGACAATGGTAACGTGCTCTGGATGGAGGTCTTGGAACAGCATCTAATCTGGCTGAGAAGGCCAATTCGAGAGTGACCATCCCTTCCACACTGAAGACAAATACAGTCTGTCTCCCGTCCAGCTCTCTGATTTGGCTGGTTTCGGGACTGCCTCTTGGCCTCGGCCTGCTGGACAAGGATCTCGTCAAAAGAACACCAGAGTTGATATAAAAATAAGATATGGGGAGATAGGATAGCACTCTTCAAATACTTGAAAAGTAGTCCTACTGAAGAGAAGCAGGATCTGCTCTCGATCATCCTAGAGTGCAGGATGTGTAATAATGGGCTCAAATTACAGGGAGCCAAATTTTGGCTGGATATCAGGGAAAACATCCTGTTAGAGCAGTACGACAACAGAACCCATGTGGGAGATGGTGGGTACTCTCAACGCTGGAGAGGCATCCAAGAGAAAACTGGGCAACCTTTTTTCAGATGTGCTTTGATGTAGGTTGAGCAGGGGTTGGGCTCAACAGCCTTACAGGCCCCACTCAACTCATTTATTCTATGGTACTATATACAGTTCTGTAAGCCTCTCGGGAATAAATTGCAATAAACTGAAACTTACTTTTGCCTAGGGCCACTGCACAGAAACAGGCTTAATGAAATCACAAGGCAAGGAAACATAGATGTGCTGTAGGATGGAGTGATAATTAGCATAAGACCAAGTGTGTACGTGTGTGCATTTGTTTGCATGCAGAGGGTCTGACAGTTAGACAGGACGCTTGAAAGCTAAACCCTTGTACTATTTATGTATTTCAAAACGTACAACTTTCTGCCGAGTGTGGGAGCTTGCAGGGTTATTGATCAGCACTTGTTATGAAAACATTTGTCTTTCCAGCTGCCATCAGCTGCATCATCATCATCATCATCATCATCATCATCATCATCATCATCATCACCACACACACACACACACAGAGAGAGAGAGCTAGCAGGTTTAATGTGATGCCTGATTTGGTGACTCATTTTACTCTTGACATATATGAAGGGTGGCAATTCTTAACAAATGAAAATAATTAGAAAAGCCACATTCGATGGCCCTCCGGTCTGATCAAAAAGCCATGTCCTCACCTTGTCACTTGGTAATCCACCAACTGAACCACTAGCCTCATGTCTGCTTGCAGTACCACTTCCAAGCTTAAGAGCCTCCTAACGAGAAGTCTTCCTGACGAGATAAGAGCTGGCACAGCTCGCCATCAAAATGTTTGGCCTTCATTTCAGTGAACTATTTCCCAATGTTTTAAAACCTGGCTTCGCTTTTGAGCCACACGGAATTCCCACAGATTGGAATTACCGATCTGGTCGCCGTACCTGTCAATCACCAGGTTTCCATCCTTCGTTCGCACGGCGGTCCACATGTCCCAGCATTCGGCCTCCGAAGGCTGGGTATACGGGCCAAAGACGGCCGCAAGCCTGGAACATTCCAGAAGGAGATGGAGAATCATGGGAAAGGGGGGCCCCTACCCAGACCCACAAAGCTCGAGCATTTAAACAGATGCTCTGCAGGACTAGGTTTCCAGAAGTGGGACAAAAACCTCTTCGGCTTAGGAACACTCTCCTTTCCTTGCCTCGGGGAAAGGTCTCCCACTCTGGAGGAACAGGGGGAACAAACTGAGAATGCTCACTCACGCTCTGGCAAAGAAGAAATAGTTCGATAAGCGTGTAATAATGGGTGAAAGCAGTCCACCATCTTTGAGAACCTTGAGAGAGAGAGAGAGAGAGATGGATGGATTATATTTGAAGTCTTATGCAAAGGCAGAACTGTCAAGAGGCTAGCATTATTCAGGCAGCGCTTCACTTCCAATGAAAATGCCTTGGAACAAGAATAGAAAATTGTTGGAGTCCAATAGTAAAGGGTAGACTAAAACTCCACCCTCTGAGGGTCGCACCTACCCCCTTTTCTTTTTTACAAAACCAGAAAACTATTCTGGGCTTTTAAAACATGCAGAGGAAAGAGAATATCCTTAAAATGAATGCCTACATGCATTCAAGGCTTCTGGGGCTGCCACCGTCCATTTTCGGACTGACTCCTCTCCAAGCAACCTCCCTAATCCCACCCTGGTCTAGACATCTCCGTTCTTTATCATCCACTTCAGGCCGTCTGCCTGAGAAAAGAGAAAACTCTGCCAGGGGTTTTCGTGCCTAAAAGAGTCAGTCAGATTTCTGTTTCTGACATATGCTGTCCCACCAAAACAAGTTGAGAGAGAAGGTACATTCACGCCAGATTCTTAACGAGGACAGTCCCATTCTTAAAACGGACGGTATCTGCAGAGCCGCTTACCTTCTGGATCAGTTGGGGGTGATGAGTTTCCGGGAAAATACCTAGAAGTGATTTCAGAGAGACAGGAGCAGAAATTATAAATAACAGTTTTACTGCAACGGTGGCCGAAGGCATTGAAGCAACAAGAGGACTTCCCTGCTCCTCAGAGTCTCAGCAGGCATGTTCGGACCCCAAATTGAGGAAACGTTATGGCTCAGTGTTTAAGGGCAGGCTTTGCACTGGCCAACCAACTGCTGGCCAGAGGGCCGCCGCTGGTCAAATCTGAATGGACGGTGCTGATCTACAGACAGAGGCGGACTGACTCAGCATAAGGCAACATCCTACCTAAACCTCTAGGTATACATGCAGTATTTGAAATCCGGCATCAAATTGATTGATTGCTTTAAATTGATTGTTAAAAACTGTAAGTTCTTTGATTATATATTTTTCTGTTTTTATCTATGTAAATTGTGTATATTTTAAATTGTTTTCTATTTGTATGTTGTGAGCTGCCCAGAGTAGACCATGTCTAGATGGGCAGCATATAAATGCGATCAATCGATCAATTGATCAATCAATCAATCAATCAATCAAGTAACTTAACCATTCCAAGTAGAAAGCACTTAACCATTAGGTAAGAAGCCTCACCGAAGAAGATGAACCACCTTTCCTACAAGGAACAGTGAAGGAATAATTAAGGTTTGGAGGATGGACTGGGCAGAGTCTTGTGTACCTTTTCACCCTGGAATATTTGAACTTGAGAAGCTAAAAATGAGACAGAGCACAGACAGAGCTCTGACTCCTGTCCTCTGAAGATGCCAGCCACAGAGACGGGCAAAACGTTAGGAAGAACAATCTTCGGAACATGGCCAAAGAGCCTGAAAGAGCCTGAAAAACCCACAACACAACCCACAACAACCATCAGATCCCGGTCACAAAAGCCTTCGTGAATACATTGTTATTTGGCTGCTTGTTAGACAGACCCAACGTGTTTCAGCCACTTAATTGCTTTATGATTTCCTTCTGGGGTGGCAATATTGAAAAATGCCTACTAAGATACAATCCATTTCAAAATCCCAGCTAAGGACCATTTAATGACATTTGCAAAACAATTGTCAAGAGATCTTTGCAGCTGCTTGCTAACTTTTATTGTCCTTGAAGAAGATCATTAAAGCAATTCATCTCAGGAAACATGTTTGGGCCTGTTCACTGAATTAAGTATTTTCTTTTCTGAGACCTGGTCTCTTTTTCATATCTGTAGACGAGATGGATATTTTCCTGTCTAGTTCAGCAGAGCTCTTTTTAAAAATGTTTTCACACCTTTAAAAAAAAGAAAAGTGTGAAAGCTGTATTTGTAAACAAGGGATTTGTTACCTCCGTTGGACAGGCACAGACTGTTGATGAGAACACATCCTGTTGTATTGTGCTCATACCTGGGAACAAAAAATAGCCAAAAAAAGAAAGAGAGGATAAGGCAAAGCTAAATTAACTTAACAAAAGAACCGATCTGCCCTTACCCGTATGACTTAAGACTACATCTGCACCAAGAACACATTTCTACTGTAATGCTCAAATATATTACTAGACTGTCCATCATCATCTTAGAACTGTAGGCCAACTATAGGCACATGTGCTTTATAAACACCTAATTCCGGAGGATGACAGAGTTTGGGGCAAAACGTTGAGGTGCTAGTACAGTTATTGGCTAACATGCAAATGACTATGAAGTTTCTCAAGAGCTCCTAGTAATAATTTAGAGGTTCTACCTTGTTGACAGATTGGAATGGTAGATCCAAAGGTATCATTTTCGAGGTATGCCTGCCTAGAGTAGTCCACCATGACTAGATACACCTTGTTGACAGATCAGAACGGTACATCCAAAGGTATCATTTTCGAGAGATGCCTGCAAATAGATTTCATCTTGCTTTGGATGCTTTTAATACATCTCCTTCCCTGGAGTGGCCACGCTAGCTAGAATTTTCTGGGAATGGCAGTTGAAGGAGAAAAAAAAATGTTTTTGCTTTGGGTTATTTTCCCAACTTCTGGCCAAACTGCTAACATAACAAGAGGCCAAATGAAATGCATTTGTCTGATCCAGAATCAAGATCATTTGCAGTTTCCTTACTTGCCTCTTATTATATGATAAGCCTGCCCACATCCTAAACCAAACAGATTTTCAGTCTTTCCAGAGTCCTTAATATGGAAAACTTCCGTTGCTCCCGCACACTACTGTAACTGCATTAAAAAAAAACATCCTTCAGCAACACAGGTCAGCTGAAAAGGGTTGTGCAAATGCAGGGCTGGGTCATTTCTGAACACAAAACACTCAAAAAGGGACGTCAGACTACATAATTCACAGATATAAAATTAGATCCTATGCCAAGGCAGAATACCAATTTGAGGAACTAGCAGCTGTGTTCGACAATATTCTTATTTTGAAAATGACAGCAGCAAAACAGAAAAGAGGGAGAGTGAAAGGTTAGCTAACAAGTCACAGCTAGTTTTAAAATCTATAGCTCATACAAACAGATTAGCGATACTGCATTTTAGCGATAGTCTAGCTTTCCGAGTCTGGTCCTTCAAATAAAGCAGCCCGCTCAGCCTACAAAGGTAAACACGATTAACTTACAAACTCCTGCAGCTAAAATAAACAGATGAAATCAAAGAATTTTCAACACAAACCAGGCTGAGCCTCTTTGTCCTGTTCTTTCCGAAGAACTAAGAGGCTTTGCCTCTACAGACGAACTGGCGTGGTCTGCAACTCCAGCCACGGCTTGAACTTTTTTACACAGTTTCCCAGCTACAGTGATACCAACAAGCAACAAAACACAATGAGGGTGTTACACGACGAAGCACCAATGGTTATGGGACACGGCAGTGCTGTCACCGAGACCAGTCCTGCATTCAGCTCAGCTTTTATCCAAAGACACCCAAATGCTACGAAAACCAGCAAGAACCTTGAAAATATGTCTTTACCGCACTTCAAACCAGGAAACGAATGTTTTGGATTGCAATTCCCAAGGGCCAGGCTGGCTCGGGGAAATGAGAGAGCTGCGATCCAAAGCAGCACACTTTCCAAGGTGTGTCTCTAACCCTGCAGGATCCTGGAAAGTTCCTAAATAAGCAGAAAGATCTGCTTATTTCGTGGCAGATGACAGACATCAACTGACAAAGGATGGGAACGATTAATCAAAAGCTTTAGTACTTCCAGTAACCTGTAGAGTAACTCCTGGGCAACTGTGTCCCCATAGTCATGAGACAGAAGGTTGACCCGTTGGTTCAGGAGGCCCAAGTGATCCAACAACCCTTCCACAATGTTGGCTTGCTCGAAGATGGAATATTGATGGGGTCTCTGTTTGGAAAAACAAAGAGAGTGTACACACAGAGAGGCACAAAATGAATCGAATCACAGAAGGGGCCTCGAAGGCCATCAGGTCCAACCCCCTGTTCAAGGCAGGAATCCAAATCAAAGCTGATCGGACAGATGGTGGCCATCCCACTGGAAGGTTTGCCACCTCCCCTTGAGTTCTGTTGTTGTACCACTCTAGCAGTTAAGAGGTTTTTCCTGATCTTCAGCCGAAATCTAGCTTCCTGTCACCTGAGCCCATGAGGACATATCCTGCACTCTGGAATGTTTCTCAGTAACTTACACCCAGTTTATGTAAACTGCAATGCTTTTAAGCAAACTGTAACAGTCAGGTTTCTACAGTTCAACACTATCCCTTCAAAAAGGTTGCATTCTAAAATGGGAGTTCACTGCATGCCATAAGGGGTTTTGTTCTGAGCTGAAGAGGATTCAGCCGTGTAGCCTAAGATACATTTTTCGTATAATGGCAAGGAACATGTGGCCCTCCCTATGTTGGGAAGACTGCAGTATTCATCAGCCCTGGCCAAATGTTCTTGGACTGCCATTCCTGGAAGCCTTCACCACTGCCTGTTCTGGCCAGGATTTCTGGGAGTTGTAGTCCAAGAAGACCTGGCTTACCCAAGGTTGGGAACCATGGGTCTAGATTAGAGGCGCTGTAATCCAGCATCAGCTGGAGGGCCAGAATTTGTCCAAGCCCGTCTTTCACTGCAGGTCTCCTCTTTTCCTGTTTTGAAATGGCCCTTCTTCTTATCCTAGATTTTTGCTCCTATGCAGACTTTAAAAAAGCAGGAATGAAGCAGTAAAGCATCTTCCAAGAATTGCTCACAGGTTTGTCGCTGAAGCCAAATCCAACGAAATCTAACGCAACCACCCGATGGAAGCGCTGCGTCAGCCCTTCCCATATCTGTTGCAAGGAGGAAGAGGAGGGAAACCCGTCAGTTGAGACAACAACTCAGCACCCTTTCCTCAAAAGACAAAGGTTTTGGGGCACACACACCCCCATACTCACCTTGTACCAGTCATAACTGGATGTCGGGAAGCCGTGCAAAAGGACCACAACATCTGAACTGCCAACAGCGCCCAAGGAATCTGAGGTGTAGAGAAAACAAAACATGGATTAAAAACAAGGTGGATTTGATTTAAACCCCTATTTACATCACCATTTCAATTTTTAAAAATCAGAAAATAGTTTGATGAGAGAAATAGGGAAAAATTGATTTTTAAAAAAATTTACATTGTGACTTAAATCAGTTTCATATTTTAAAGAATCACTGGCTTGCACCCACCCTGTTTAAAACACTAACAACTTGTAATGAACACAGGGGTCCGACTGTATGAAAAAGATGATAACTCCTAGAAATATGTATTTTTAAAGATGAAGTTACCAGAAAGGATCATGAGACAAGAGACAGAAACCATGCTTTGCAGAGTGTTCATTGTTAAAATAGTCTTTGCTCTCATCCACAATTTTCCAGCATCCACAGAGGGGGCTTGGAACTCATCCCTTGGATCCGATAGGGGGCCCCTACCGTAGAATTTATAAGATTATAAAAAGAAAGACAGAGCAGACCGTTTACAAAAGGAATGGATAAATAAATAAGAACCTCTGTAAAAGATGTTCTGGTTTTTGTAAGCGTAGTAACTTCCTGATGCCCTCCATGAGTGCAGAGCTGATGACAACTTAGGGGGTGGGATGTGTAGATACACAGCAATGAGTGGTACGGTCAGCAGCCCAACTTGAATCCACCACTCTCTCATTCTAAAAAAATAAAATAAAAGCAAAATTAATATTTGAAACAAAATCTGTCCGTATCTGACAGCCGCAAGTGGAATAGGAACAGTGAAGCCAGCCTAAAAGAAATGCCGGCTTGTTCTAAACTGCAGGGTTTCATAAACATCACTATGAATTCTTCCCAGGAAGACTGTCCTTCTAATCTAGGGTAGCTGCTGAAATGATGGGCTGGCACTTGAGAGAAGCTAGTTCAGGATCTGAGGCTCACTAAAAACTTTGAGGTTGGTTACTCTCCCAAATGGACCTCATTCACAGGGTCATGCTCTGAATTTCTGAGGATCTCCAAGATACCGCTACACTGCCACAATGGAGAGAAAAAAAGACTGTGGTTCCAAGGAGGAGCAGGATCTGCTCCATTTGATGCCACGGGTAGCAAAGCCACACACAAAGAATCAGTTGCATAACTGCTACAGGAGCAAAATTGAGTGCCAGAGCTTTGAAAATTGCTTCTTCTTTTTCCTTTTTCCTTTTTTTTCTTTTTTTTTTTGGACCACATCTGCCAGAATTCCTCACCCAGCAGGACTAGAGGGATGGGGAGTCAGAGCTGGAGCCCATGAAATTAACTTTTCAAAGCTCTGAGCAGTGCAGTCAGATTGTGATCGTGAAAACAATTAAAGGAACTGGTAAAGGTAAAGGTTGACATTTAGTCGTGTCCGACTCTAGGGTGCAGAGCTCATCCCCATTTCCAACCTACAGAGCCAGCATTTGTCTGAAGACAGTTTCTGTGGTCAGGTGGCCAGCGCGACTAGACACGGAATGCCGTGACCTTCCCATTGTGGTGGTACCTATTTATCTGCTCGCATTTTTATGTGTTTTTGAACGGCTAGGTCGGCAGGAGCTGGGACAAACGGCGGGAGCTCACTCCGTCGCGTGGATTCGATCTTACGACTGCTGGTCTTCTGACCTTTGCAGCCCAGAGGCTTCAGCGGTTTAACCCGCAGCGCCACCACATCCCTATTAAAGGAACTGGTACATCCCTTAAAATATTAGATCAAAAAATGGAAAAATGCAGTCCTGAGATGTAGAAAATATAATGCTCTTTATTCTCATATAAAATGCCCAATGAGTTTCAGTCTATCAGACTTCTTTCAGTAGATGATCAAATGAAATA